TGGTCTCATATTAAAGATACCACGTTAAATGTAAATGTTTCACCTTAAAATTTCGGTTACAAATTTGTGTGCGTGATTTTCAAAATCCCTAAATTTCTTTCATTATCTACACTTTCCGTTATTACTGGCAAAGCAGATTTTATGAGGTAAGCATAATGCTAATAACTCACGCGAGAAACTCTACCTTTTATATAAACTAAAATGAATTACCAACTACTAGCCTTAATTTATCTATATTCTGAAAATAATTTATGATAGAATGGGTATATCGGGGTAATCTAACTAAGGTGAAGGTGTATTCCATCAAAGACTGACTATAATTCAGTTCCAAATGTCAACAAAGAAATACTCCAGACCACTGTTATTAACAATTATATAAACATCATACCCGTAGAAAAAGTTAGTGATAATTTAAACTCAGAACGTCAATGGATGACGTTCTGACGTTCAAAATAAAAATCCTTGGTTTTGAGTCTCAATAACAACAACAACAACAACACTTGGATAGGAGTATATCAAGCTTACGGCTACCGAACCGGACCAAACGCAAATATAGAATTCGACTGCTAACGAAAGTCTATCCATTCTATAAATAATGTCTGTTAAACAGATTGTAGTAAACGTCTCTTGAACTTAAGTAAAATTACATTGTTATGCATTCATTTATATGGTCAAGAAACCATTGAGAAAATCTTAAGAATCCCAGTGAGTCTTTAGTAGCATAGTAATTACGTCAATTCTCAGTCTACGTACGTGTGAGTATAGATGCCACTTATCAATTCATCGCTTAATTCATTAACTTATATTGTCATTATAAATCAGTTGTTATATACGTTTTGATGTACAATGGTTATTTCATTCAAATCAGTTAGTGGTATAATTTACATTTCCTTTACATCTAAATATTTTAGTGAAACACTAACAATTTTGAAAGGTTTTATATCTTGACTTAATATTAGCTAGACCATTATCAAAAACCAGAAAGCATTGAACAACTGTTTCATATTCATATGAGACTACTCATTAGTAAACAACTAAACACTGACATAGTGGATTCAACACATGATCTTCGGTTAATCTATAGACCAGTGAGCTGGTGTCTAACGATGCTAATGCCTGACTTAAACCAATTCACGATATTATTCCAATGTCTATAGTGGTTAACTGTCTCACACTGGATAAGTTTGAATACTACCAGTCACCGTTCCTCACTAAAAATCTAGAAATTCTACCTTGAAGCCAGCCATCATTGAGCAAATGTTTGTTATTAGTGTAGGTTCAGAACAATTTTAATTGTGGAACAATTATCCACTACAATCAGTTTAAGATGAAGATGAAATATCTTGAATTTTTTTGAAATTTAAAATACACATCACTGTATGCAGGTTCAGTGATATGGAGGCTAGAAAATCATGTGTAGTATCAAAGGTTCAAAGTTTGATTCATGGTCATGGTTCCCACTGTTGAGGAGTGTCATAATAAGACGAAATACCCGTTCAGTGCTATTAGGTTTTCAATAGTGATGTAGCTAAGATAATTTTATAACTTAAAAACTATGAAACTTCTATCATCTCTACAAAAACTATAAGACTTTGCCAGTTGTTTATCGAAGTAGTGATAATCAATGTCTGAATTATGTAACATATATGAACTCATTTTCGTACTACAATTAGGTAATAAAGTTTATCGAAAAAAAAACAATGTTAATATTGACGAACTATTTTGCTAATAAGCAGAGATGGGTAGTGGCTAGCAGTGGAATCCAGGACGCGCGTTTCGTTCTATTTGGGACTCGTCAGCTGGATACCTGCTTGTGAATTAAGGTATATCGAGGCAATACGCACAGTATGCACATATGCCAATTAGAGACTGACCAGTTGCAGTCCTAAACACATCGATGGGAAGATCCAAACAAACAATACTAAGTGGATATTTTGCTAATAGTTAGAAATGTTAAAATATGATTTATTTAGATTTCAATTAACATTTTGTTAATAATAATGGATCACTTCACGAGTTATCGATTACTTAGGGAAACAGAACACCGATATACATCTGGGCTACCTATTCCTGTCATCTAGATATTTCAACAACTTATCTAATTTTGTTTGTTCTAATACATCATTATGGATATTAATTACATGACCTATTCAGGTGTGTTTCTGAAAAGTGTACAACCTTTCGTGGTAAAAGTTACAAAAGGCCTAATCAGAGATATCATGGTTACTAACAATATGCAGCGAAAAGAATGTGCACTATTCAGATGTTGATTTATTGAACTGCTAACTTATAACTGATTATCACTCAATACTTGTCATCAGAATCAATCCAGAAATAAGAAACGGAGACTTGCTGAAATACATTGTTCTGAGAATCTCATATTGTACCAGAAATATAATATTGAATAAAGGTAACAATAATAAATTCCAGGTACTTTTGTATGTTTAACTTAATCTACAGGTTTTCGTAAAACCTACATACAACTCACATTAAATTTACACATGAATGAACATTTATTTGGCAAATGAATGTGATTTTGAATGTGAAATTTCATAAAAATCAAACTTTCAGTTAAGGTGGTTTGAAAGAAATAACCGAAAAATACATTTTATTGATTGATTAAGACCTTTGTTCAATGTAGTACATGTTTGAAGTTTTGAACAATTGAATACCGATTTCAATTCAATGTTTACAACGGAAAACCCTAAAAGTACGTTCGTTAATCATTGAGTCAATGGGCAATAGTAGACATTAAATTTTCATATGATTGAGAACATCGGTTATTCAGGGGGGGGGGATTTGAAACTTGATTTATTCTGTGAACTGCAGAGTTTAATCGTGAAGCTCCCATTGTCTTTCTAGACAACGTCATCAGTACATCTCTTATCTGTCACCTCTTTTTCAAATATGTGATAATGATGTTGTCTAGAAAAGTACTGGAAACTTTATAATTAAACTAACCAGTTCAGAGAAAACATAACTTATAAAAAGGTCTTAAATTAACAGTATGCTAAATAAGACGGGTAACATGATTCGAAAATAAAACCTGTGTAATTTAAAAACCATAGTGATTTGAATAACCATATTTTAAACTATCTGTCAACTCCATAGATCAGAGCGTAAGCCCATGATTTGTTTGTTGCTGAAAACCTTGATTGTATGGTGAATCCATCTTGCCGTTAAACGAAACATTCAATAAAATGTTTATACCATAATTCTTTTTCACATATCCTTTGAAAAAAGTTTGTTGCTTTGATGTATGTGACTACCTTTTTAATGTTTTAATTTTTATTGAAATAAAGTATTTCACTTACCGATCAATCAAAGTTACCTTGTTTAACTAAGTGATCCTTCTCCAGCTAATATCCTTCCCTTTTTTCCTGTCTGATTACAAGTCGTCTACTAAGAGTAAATATTTTTAAACGATACGTTCAACCTTACTATAGTAAGGTCAATTCAGATAGAACTGAAAGGAGATGGTTGCAAGAAATTGTTTAAAAGTTCTTATTTAATCATCAAACTGTTACTTGTAGCTTTAAACACTAAAAGTAATTAAGAACGTTGATAGAATCACATGACAACTGTAATTTTGATGGTATTGTAAATACTGTGAATATATTTAGATGCATGTCGTTATTCTTTTAGTCTCTTCTTAGCTTCACGTATTTTAGCACTATTTAAGAAAGCTTTCTCTTTAATCTATCATATGGAGAAGGTATATAATTTTAGTCTTAACCGACAATAAGAATAGGACTCTGGACATGTAGGGAGTAAAACGGCGTCTGAATTGCGATCTAATTATAGCTTTACTATACGGTGAATCAATTAAAACAAACTAAAACTGCCAGATGCTGGCTAAGTGGTTATAAAGGTTAGATTCTCGACGCGAGACTCGAAGGTTTTACACTGAACCTGGTGGGGTCGTCGTTGTGTACCATCAAGTAGTCTCATACTAGGATTAAACATCTATCTAGTGCTTCTGGGTAAACAATAGTAACTTAATTAAGGTCGATCTTTGAGTAAAACAACCTTCAAATTCAGCAAAATGTATATTTCTGAATATATTTTATGATTTTAATGGGTTAACATGTAAGCAGATGATCTTAATTTACACTGTCACAACAGTATATGTTATCTCCTATATATTGTATGACAAATCAAATCACCACATCAGTGGTCTAGCTTCAATTGACTAATGATTTCAACTATGAAAATACAAAAATCTTCACAAAACCCCTTCTGAAATAAAAAGAAGTCAAGTATTTTCATGAATCTCTCTACTGATAATGAATTCAGTTTGTATTTCGCTTATATATTAAAATGATCTATTTTACCACGAATTTTGAAGACAATAGAATCTCCTAATTTGATCATAACATGTATTCACTCAATAGTTAATAAGTTTAATTGTTTAGTTCATGAGTCGATTTAAGTTAGAACATCATTGAAAACCTGAAAGCATTGAACGGCCGTTCCACCCTAGTATGGAACTCCTCAGCAGTGCTCATTCAAGATCCTGACTCAAACTCAGGAAATTCGTTCAAATGCGCTAACGCTTAAACTACAGATCACTTAATCAGCTTCCAACGGTGTTAATGTCTAATTCCAACCAATCCCAAGTTTTCAGTGGTGGTCTATCCTAAATCAACTGATGAATTCAACTATTAAACGACTACAATCTCCACAACCCCCCCCCATTCAGTCAACAAATTATAAATAATTTCATTCCGTAATACAAAATCGATTTGTTATTTTGACTGATTTTGTAGCCATAGTTTCAACTATACTCATATATATATTACTCATACTTTACTTATGTAATCATTTATCATTCTTTATGATGTAACTTAGTACTTCTCAAGGTAAAGTACAATTATATAACCTAAAATATTTTAACCAACTAATCAACCAATTAATTGTCTTTGTATAATGGTGCATTCAAATTCACATGACTATAACATACATTTGAATGATTGTGTACACTTCATTCATTCAAATTCATTGTTACTATGATATATATATGTATAACTATTAGTAGTATTTTGACAGATTCTATAAAATAAGTGTAGATTAATGTGAAAATCTTATTCTCTTATATAATTTTCTAAATAGGGGGACAAATTAGAATGATTAACACCAATTAGATTAGTCTCAGGTTATGGTTGTACTATCAAATGGATTGTGATAAGTAATTGAGTACAATGATCTATATATAGAGAGAGAAAGAGAGGGATAGATAGAAAGATACATATATAAATACGTTGATTAATCAATCAAATCTATTTGTTGATAATAATGAAACATTATGATATTGTAGTTGAAGCAAATGAATTACCAACAGAACGTAAAACAACTGCGTTGACTTTATGTGTACATGCATTGGATTATTATCATACTGAAAAAGATGTAGCAATGTTTATGAAAAAAAATTTTGATAAATTATATGGACCAGTATGGCAATGTATTGTAGGTCATGAATTTGGAATGTAAGTTATATTGTCAAAAAATATATTTATATATTTATATATGTTTTTCAAACTTGAAATCATGAGTCAATTGAAGCTAGACCACCATGGAAAACCTGGAAGCACTGGATGGCCGTTTCGTCCTATTATGAGACTCCTCAGCAGTGCGCATCCACGAACCCGCGAGACTCAGTCTCAAGCCAAAGCCCTTAACCCATAGACCACTGAGCTGGCATCCAACGGTGTTAATGTCTAACTTCAACTGATCCACGAAGTTGAGCAACCATTCACCAATTGTCTTCAGTGATTTGATATCTCACAACGGACGTGGTTGAACTCCACTGGTCACTGCTTCTCACTAAAACTCCAGGACATGTATCTTGAAGTCAGTCACTAGTGAGCATATGATTATATTTAGAAGAGGATTTGTGAGATAGGAACTCACTGAAGACAATTGGTGAATGGTTGCTCAACTTCGTGGATCAGTTGAAGTTAGACATTAACACCGTTGGATGCCAGCTCAGTGGTCTATGGGTTAAGGGCTTTGGCTTGAGACTGATAGGTCCTGGGTTCGAGTCTCGCTCGCGAGAGCGGGTCCGTGGATGCACACTGCTGAGGAGTCCCATAATAGGACGAAACGGCCGTCCAGTGCTTCCAGGTTTTCGATGGTGATCTAGCTTCAATTGACTCATGATTTCAACGTTGAAAAATACTGAAATCTCCACAAATCTCCTTCTAAATATTTATATTTGTGTTTATTATCAGAATGGGGTATTGTGGAGATTTTAGTAATTTTATATAGTTGAGATCATGAGTCATTTGAAGCTCTGACGCTAGACTGGTAGGTCCTGAGTTCGAATCTTGCGGTTCGGGATCGTGGATGCGCACTGTTGAGGAGTCCCGCAATGGGACGAAACGGCCGTCTAGTGCTTCCAGGTTTTCCAAGGTGGTCTAGCTTTAATTGACTCATGATCTCAACTATATGTGTTTATATTGGATATATATATATATACATAACCATGAAGGAATCTTCTTTCAATACAGCAAACGAAATGATTAATGGTGAGTTTTGAAGTATATAGACATTAAAATTCATTTAGCTCACCTCAATACATACTAGTTAGACTGAAAAGATGTAGTAGTCATTATATAAATGTATAAATTAACATATGAGATAAAATAAAGATTAAAACTTACATGCAAAACAATTGGATACTTAATAACAAAGAAAGAAAGAGTCCAAAATGACAGTTGATGATAGTCAAGCAATATTGTTCATTGAACTCTCAAAAAACGAATATCTCAGGATGTACATTCAGCTGTCTGAAATCTAATACCTGGCTATGAAATCATAGCATATTGTTTTGCATCCACAGTGGAATCATATACACAACTGAATTGTTTCAAATTATGGTTGAACAGCTGTTCATCACTTCTTGATTTTTAATTGTCGTTCAGTTTAAATTAGTTTAGGGAACAAAAGTTAAACTACTACTGAAAACCTGTAAGCACTAGACGTCCATTTCGTCCTAGTTCAGATCGAATAGCTGAGATTGACTCATGATTCCTCACAATAAAATGAAGAACTTTGTTTAATAGGCTTATACATTGTTCTGAACTCGTTCAAGTTCTGTTATTCAGTTTGTGTAATAAAAAAAAACGAAAGTTACATGCAGTATTTACTTCATGTAATTTAGAAATTTTTCAAGTTTATTTGTAATATCGCTCAAATTCTTCTTTATAACACGGATCTATGAATGAAGAATATTCTTTTTAAGGTTTTTTAAGGTTCTACAATTATGTAACCTAATAAGTAGTACAAAGTTTAGCCAGGTTTAAGGTAGAAAACGTCGTTTAGAAATTATGCCATATGAATTTGGAATTTTAAAGTAAAATAAAATGCATTTGGTGTTGTTTACTTGTATCTTCCCATTGTTATCCAGGGTAGCAGTTGATCAGTCTCTTTTTAGCATATGTGCATCCTGTGCGGATTGCCTTGATATTGCCTGAAGTCACAAACTTTTTGAGCAATGATGGATAATGGCTAGCAGTGGAATCCAGGACGCGAACAGTACTGAGTTCGAGCTTCAGAGTGAACATCAACTCTGAGATGTAGGTACATCCAGCTGACGAGTTCCGAATAGGACAAAACGCGCGTCAAACTGGATTCCACTGCTAGCCACTATTCATCTTTGCTTATAAAAAAAATTCGTTTATGTCAGAATGAATATTATAAAATGCTGACTTGAGTCAGTTTATACATTAAATAAAATTATAAGATTAATGATCAGAATAAATATGGTTAACATGGGCTAATAGAAATAATAATGTAATTACAAATCAGAAATTAGGTAATATGTAGAATAATATAAATAAGGCAAGAATTAGTAGATAGGGATTGACGCTGAATAAATTTCCTCAAAGCGTTTCCAAGTGTCACAGTACCCATGATAATAATAATGATGATGAAAATGATATATGTGATTGAAATAAGTTTAAGCTATAAAAATGCAAAGAGAAAGGTTATATCAACATTATTCGAATCATGTTACCATAGCATTAAAATGATCATTAACTAATTAGGCTAGAAGTTGACAAAGATAAAGTAAGCAGCTGAAGATATATCTTCTGGACGCGAATCTCTGGTTTTCTTTTATCTGAATAGCTATTGCTTCAACTATCTGAAGTATTCTTATTTACTTACTTACGCCTGTTACCCCCAATTGAATATAGGCCGCCGAAACAGCATTCTTCAACCCACTCACTCTGTCATGCGCCTTCCTTTCTAGTTCTATCCAACTTTTGTTCATTTTTCCCATGTCTGTATCCATTTCTCGGCATAATGTGTTATTTGGTCTTCCTCTTCTCCTTTGGCCTTCAGGATTCCATGTAAGAGTTTGTCTTGTGATGCAGTTCGGTGCTTTCCTCAGTGTGTATTCTATCCACCTCCAGCGCTTCTTCCTCATTTCTTCCCCCATTGGAATCTGGTTTGTTCTCTCTCACAGTAGGTTGTTACTGATAGTGTCTGACAAACGGATCCGAAGTATTTTGCGTAGACAACTGTTAATAAACATTGTATCTTCTGGATGATGACTTTCATATTTGTTCAAGTTTCCGCCTCAAACAGTAAAATTGTCTTGACATTTGTATTGAAAATTCTGATCTTGGTGTTGGTTGACAATTGTTTGGAGTTCCAGATGTTCTTTAGTTGTAAATATGCTGCTCTTACTTTACCGATCCGTGCCTTCACATCTGCATCTGATCCACTGTGTTCATCAATGGTGCTCCCAGATATGTGACGTTTTCATGTTCTCCAAAGCTTCTCCGTCAAGTATGATTTGATTGATGCATGTTGTATTGTGTCAGAGAGTCTTCCTTTTTTTTGTATAAGTTGAGACCTTCTGCTGCTGAGACTGTTGCTTCACTGGTTGTGTTTGAGTTATTCTTAGTCTGATGGATTTAGTTAAATTGCTCTGGATACAATATATATTACATATATTATGTAAAAGTGTTTAACTCAGATTATAAAAGCAACCTACGTCTAATACTGTGAAGATTATTTTGTCTCTTTTTAAATAACGTGAAGATTTTTGTTAACATCATACTCATCATTTACTTGACATTTTTCATCAAACGAAGGTATATTCACGAGTAATGTAGCTATTATTGAAATATTTTTACTGAGCAACATGATAAGAATTGAATACGTGCAATTAATTCACTTGATTATTGTAACAGGTCTACAACATACAGACGTAACCGAATATATTTAATATCAATTAGTGATTAATACTTCATCATATACTAATGAACTGCTTAAATAATTCAGAAGTCATATTGAATGAATCATTTAAAGAGTTTGTGACAATAACTGCATTATCGATAGCATTCGATCAGCACTAAGACGGACTTGACACGCATGACATTGATCACCACACAGTAATCGATTAATTTTGATTACATATTAGTCCTACAGGAGGTCGGTCGCGGCCCGAATAGCTCAGTAGTAACGTCTCTGACTGTGAAGCTAGGTGACACGGGATCGACTTCATCAAGGAGCATCAGTTTCACTCAAGAATACACGTACACATTGCTGACGAGTGTAAAGTAGCACGAATTCTAGGTCCAGGGTTTCCTGTTGACCACCTCTAATCACCATGTATATTTTTCTGCCAAATACCTTAACTTTGTTTTTTACAGATTCAAAAAAACAACAAACAAACATCAAACATACAGTTATATATTAATGAGACAGCTGAATGAAACTGTACTTCGCTATTTCTGTTGCTAAATAGTCAGGTTTATTTCTGGAGCGAAATAATAGAAATAAGAAAGGTCTTGCAAATCTTGATGAGACAATATATTGATTAGACATATATTCAAATATTGTACTGTTATATTAATCTTCGAGTATAGACATTTTAATCTGCTCTATAGCTCACAAAACTTACTATTATATCATTCAAATATTTCACAAGTTTGTTTTAACTGATTGTTTGATTGAACATATGATTCAGAACTTCTCTCATTAATTACATCATATTAAACCAAATTCAATTTTTTATGTATTATTATGGTGTGTGCTACTGATATCAATAGATATAAGTAGTATGTATCATCATTCAAAAGTGAAATGTCTGGAGACAGAAGGTTTAGAAGATCAAAGAAAAAAGAACAAAAACAGAGAATGATTAATGCAGAAAGGAAAGAACCATGAAGTTTAACATGATTGATTGATATCTTACAAATGAAGTATTTACTATATGATTCACATATTTTGTATTCAAATACAATCGATTATCCCCCTGTGCGTTTCCGTTCACTACACTATGAGCAGTATATGTTTGCACAAACACAAAACCCCCTTCTGATAAAGTAATATAGTATAATTTAGCAACATTTTCACCACTCAAACCACCTTCATAAATTAATCAGTTACAAAAAAAATTGTGTAAATTGTTTTTTTTTTCGAATTGTTGATTAGATAGTTTATTGTTTACTTATGTAAATTAGTAAGAAACATTGTGGTGTGCAAACAGAGTACAGTTATTGATCATGACTTTAAGTGACTGTTTGCGTCAAATATCTAAGTTACGACAAACACGTACACATGAAAGATAGATTTATTTACACAGTTAAATGTAAATACAAATGGACGTTGATTTATTTTGTTTTCCATTAAAGTGTAGGTACTGAATATATTGAACATATAGATTAACTGATTCTCACGAAATGTTTTCTATAATCCAATCTAAAACTATTCATTTTGTTGTGTAATTAATATTTCACTTATAAAAATAGTTAATTCTCAAGCATCTTATTAGTATTTGTTAACAAAAGTCAATTCATAAGATAAGATGGTGGCTGGAGGTGTTCAACAGGAGACCCTGGACCCGGGTTTCATGCTACATGGCCCTCGTCAGTAAGGTGGACTTGTAATCTTGAGCAAACCGGTGCTCCCTGATGGGTTAGATCCCGTGTCACCCACCTTCACAGTAAGAGACGTTACCACTGAGCTATTCGGGCCGCGACCGACCTCCTGTAAGACTGAGATGTAATCACAATTGATTGATCACTGGATGATGATCAATGTCATGCGTGTCAAGTTCGTCTTATAACATTTGACAATTTGAGAAAATTTGTGAAGTCGATTGGACAAGTAAGTTTTTCTTTCAGTTGAACACAGCAGGACAGGATAAATTATTCTAATCACTATCCTTTCGGTAAATTAGAAAAAACACTTCAATTATTAGAGTGTTTTTTAATATTGATTCGATGGTAGTTAAAAATTTCATGTACTACTGTATTTGATTTGATTTATTGATTTTGAGAATCTTTAGGATTAGTTAGGGGTGTTTTTTTATATGCGTTCCTTCATTTGAGTCAAGATTTCATAAATCAACTCTTCAATATAAATCTGGCTATAGACAACACGATAGAACTTGTGGAGAGTTCTGTGTTGATTTTTCATCAATAATCCATTTGTAGTATTTCAGTATATTATTAATTATGTTCGTTTACATCTCAATAAACTGTATGATGTTTTAAACGGCCTCATATTCCTTTTCACATTATCTTCTAAAAGAATGCAAGAACTCAAAGTCTAGATACTGGTTTGCATTCATCAATTTATGGTGGATAGTTTTCAGTAACATAACTTTCACCAAATAAAAAATTACTATTCAAATTAACTGAGCTTATTAAAACAAATGAAGCGGTTGTTTATTCTCATCAAAGTCAATTCGGCGGCCTGCTTGAATACCTGGGCTACCTGTTTCTGCCATCTAAATATTTCAACAAGTTATCTAGGTTTTTTAATTTTGTTTTAACCTATCATTATGTCTATTAATCGCATAACCTATACAGGCGCGTTTATGAAAAGCTTACGTCTTTTGCTGCAAAAATCACAAACAAGTACAATAAGAGACATCGTGGTGGTTGGCAATATGCTTTAAAGAGAATAAACATTAATCAAATGTCGATTCCCGAGCTGCTTAACTCTAACTGTCGATCACTAATTAACAAAGTGGACTATCTCCAATTTCTGCTAAGTCAAAACATGTATCGTAATTGTGGTGTCATCACAATTCAAGAATCTTGGTTGACTGACTTACAGGATGATTGCTTAGTGTCATTATGTGATTTTAATATCTATCGTCAGGATCAATTAAACAATAAAAAGACCTGTGGTGGCGGAGTAGCTACTTTTGTAAACGTTAACTGGTGTCGATCTACTTTTGCCTGTTTCAAGTTTTCAAACGACTTCATTGACTGTCTAACTTTAAGGTGCCGTCCAAAACACCTAAATAAATACTAATATATTTATGTTACCAATATCTACATGACTCCAGACTGCACATCACCTGCGCCATCTGTCTTCGCTGATAAATTTACTGAATTCGCCGTTACTGCCTTCAGTGATTCACTTTCAATTGTATGTGGTGATTTCAATTCATGTGACTATAACTTCCTTACATCACTAGGTCACCTAAATGTAGTAGATTTTCCTACTCGTTTGAATGCTCATCTATGCTTGGTTTTCATTAATGATGTGGGTACCTATGTGACTCGCAAACGTGCTTCATTGTCTAGCTCGGATCACTATATAATTCGTGTTCTACCTAAAGTATATGGTAAACATGGAAAGAGTACACACATACACCATACCAAAAAAGTAATATACAGGAACTACTAGGAAGAAAATTTACAAAATCTGAAAAACGTGTTTCGTACGACCAACTGGGAATTATTTACAGATGACTCACCAGAAAACACCACTGATGTTATCACCTGTTATCTTAAATTCTGTTTTGGTATTTGCTGTCCTACTGAAACCTTCTTTTTAAGTTTTGATCGACTTACATCTCCACAACTAAAACGAATACGGAGGGTAAAAGAAAGTATGTAGAAGGAGAAAAATACTACTGAAGTTCGTAAGTTAAATGTTCAAATAAACCAAGAGATTAGACGTCCCAACTCTGTGTTTACTCAAAAACTCCTATCTTGTAAAAGCTCTCCAAGTATGTGGAAACTCTTTAAAGAAATTACAGGGAACAGGAAGACTAGAAGCGATAACCAGCTGAATGTTTGTCACTTAAATAAGTCCTTTATACGTCAGTCATCTGACATAATGCTCCCTATATCCAAGGGTCTGAAGAATAATTGTGCTTCCAGTTTCACTGAAAATGATGTCCGAAAATGCCTCCAGTCACTTAATTCATCCCAATGTTTAGAACCACTTCAACCTGCAATAAAAGAGCACTGTGATCCATATCAGTTTGCTTACAAATACAAAAGAAGCACATTAGATGCCGTTGCTGTTCTGCATCACAATATAGTGTTCGGGTTGGAAAAGGGTAAGAAGTATGTTAGATTCGCTTTTCTGGACTTTACTTCTGCCTTTGATTCTATTCCAAGACACCTCTTACTTAACAAGCTGATCAGCGTCGACACTGACATCTGGATAACCAATTGGCTATGTTCCTACCTTTCTGGAAGAGAACAGTACACTGTATTTGAAGTAAAGTGTTCAACATCTATACTGTCTAATGTAGGTGTGCCACAAGGAGCTGTTCTTTCACCCTTGCTCTTCTCTTTCTTTCTGCATGATCTGCCATCTTCCACAGAAAACACTTTTGTAAAATATGCGGACGACCTCACTGTATGTATGCCGGTTTCTACCTCCTTACATCCCATAGAAATGAACGAGTTTTTATCTCGTATTGAATGGTGGTCTGTTGGTAATGGTCTCTTACTCAATCCATCTAAATGTCAAGCTGTTAATTTTAGCTTGAGACATGGACAGCACCTATACTCTATGTTGGGATCCCATAATGCTTGTGCCATTGGAGACTCCTTAATAAACACAGTGTCGAAGGTCAAATATCTTGGTGTTACTTTTTCCTTTGATCTTTCTTGGTCTTCTCAAGTTTTACTGTTATTGAAAAAAGTTTACCGTTTGACTTACTACATAAAGAGGCCGCATGCTTTGGGGATTACTCGCCATTTATTCTTACAATTTGTCAATTCCTGCATATTACCTATAATTCTATATTGCTCTCCATTATTCTTACCCGGGCTTTTGAGAAAAGACTTTACTGTTTTGCGGAGAGTGCTGTAGGCAGTTTGCAAGGTATGTGGTGAATCTTTTGAAGTCATTATTAATATGCTTGTGGATAGACATCTTAAGTCTCCCAAACTATTGGCAGGTGTTATCATATCAGATACTAACCATCCACTTCATTTATATCTTTCTCCTTGTATAACTTCTGGTAGAACGAGACGTAAATACGTTAAAATCCGTGCACGCAAGCAAATCTATAAAAGTTCTGCAATACCTTACCTAGCAAATTTACTTTGTGACGAACAGGCTGTCAGAGTTGACCTAGTAAATAACCTGCATTATTAGGCAAATTCGATAATTTGTACAGACTCAGATTTTCTTAAAACTTTTTTCATTTCTTTTCTGTTTCTTTTTTCGGTAAAAAACTTGTTGAAATAACTCGTGCTGAGAATTCTATATTGTATCAGATTATAATATTGAATAAAGCCATTAATAATAATAATAATAATAATAATAATAATAATAATAATAATAATAATAATGATAATAATAATATGAAATGTATATTACCTACTGTCCCTGAATCTGTCTACCCACTCTATTGCTGAGTATGACTTGTCGAATATAGATTAAGACTTTGACGCGATAGGCTGACTGTCTTAACCTTGAGGCTAGTATACGTGAGTTCGAAGTGGGGGTAGAGAGATGAAAACTATTCTATCCCTGATTGGCTAGCAAGCACGCGAGAGAGAGAAGACAAAGACAGCTGGAACACTAATCACTTTATTCCAATCCCAATCTAGCACTCGAATTCCGAATTTCGATAAGGGTGAAAAGTTACATGAATAAATTAGGAAAATACAATCGCTGAGACTATTTCAAATATAATAATTTCTTCACATATAATGAATTCTCTATACTCGGCGCCCAATTATTGTCAGACTATTCGTCCTAACCTTGACGAATATTCGTTTAAATACAGTTATGTTCAAAACTGGAAGATTAGAGTAGAAAACAGAGTACAAAAGATTACGTCTAAATGACAATAGCTTTAGAACAGAAAATGCTATGGCAGTGAATCATACATCAAACGAAAGCTTATGATCTGTAGAATAGACTAGAGATAAAAGTAAATGTTATAGTTTTACAAGTTTTGAATTAAATGAAATAACGTCACCAAAAATAGCTTCCGTAGTTTGTTAAGGCTTCTTGTTTCGCAGTTCACATCACTTACACCTGTTACCCCTTGTGGAGGAGCACTGGCCGCACATCAGCATTCTCCATCCAACCTTATTCTGAGCAATCCTTTCCAGTTCTTTCCAGTTAACATTTATCCTTTCCATATCTGACTCTATTTCCCGGCGTAATGTGTGCTTTGTCCTTCCTCTTTTCTGCCTCGTGATGTAGTTTGGTGATTTCCTCAATGTATGTCCTATCCACTTCCAATGTCTCTTCCTAATTTCCTCTTCAACTGGAAGCTGGCTTATTCTCTCCCATATTACGCTGTTGCTGATAGTATCCGTCCACTGAATGTTGAGTATTTTGCGTAAACAACTGTTTATAAATACTTGTACCGTCTTGACGATGGATGTAGTAGTTCTCCATGTTTCAGCACTGTATAGTAGAACTGACTGTCTTGATGTTCGTATTGAAGATTCTCCCTTTGAAATTAGTTAATAGTTGTTTGGCGTTCCATATATTCTTCAATTGTAGAAATGCTACCCTTGCCCATCTTTTACACTGTTCTTAATTCTCCGTGATTAAAATGTATAAAAATAATAAAAAAAACTACATTGAAAATAATTTAAATAACATCATTTATCACTTAGTAACAAAAATTTTTCTGAATGAAATCCCAAATTACCCTTATCCTAAACTTTTATTACATTCTACATTTTTATTTCTTCTTTTTAGGTCAATCACACATGATGAAAAGTGTTTCATTTATATCCATTGTGGAGAAGTCAGTCTTTTACTTTATCGATGTACTTAAATAACGATTTACATCAAATAATTTACAGAAAGTACCTGTTTCCTTGAATAAAGAAAATGGATAGAAAAAAATTTTAAAAAAAATTTTCTGTATATTATAATTTTATAAATTTACCTTTAATTTATTTTTATGTATTTATAAATGTATTATAATCATTTGTTATGGAAAATTTTTAAATATACCCTGATTTATACTACTAATATAAGAAATTTGATGAATATCAGAAGGGGTTTTATGGAGATTTCAGTATTTTCATAGTTGAAATTATGAGTCCATTGAAGCCAGATCACCATGGAAAACTTGGAAGCACGGGATGGCCGTTTCGTCCCATTGCGGGACTCCTCAGCATTGTTTATAGAAGAATTCTTTGATTCAATATTCCTTCTTTCAGTTCTATATACTTTATTCGACTGTTACTCTTTTTTAATTGTTCTCAAATAATTTCCAATTGATTGATCACTGGGTGGTGATCAATGTAACTATTATAACTTGTGGCCAAGTGGATGCTTTGTTAATGTATGACGTGATAAGACCGCTAATTAGAGAGCAGTGATTTAACGATCGGACCAGTGATACATGAAAACGTTACGAGCAGTCTTGAGTACTTATCGGTCCTGCTTCTACCTAGCGCAGCCATTGGAGTTCAGAACACCAATAACAGCCTTTGTAATATGAATTATTATATTTCAAACATACTGGGTTTATATACCAAACAAACAGACCACGTCGTACCATCTAATAGAAAATAACATTTGTACAAAACTCAGTCCAAGGTAGCTGTGAGTGTGAGGTACAGTAATCAGTAGACTGAGGATAACTGAAGAATGGCAAATCGTATAGTAATAGTCTATGAGTCAAAATGAAACTCATAATTAGAAGAACATGAATATGAATAGTTGAAATACTTAACAGATATAGGAAATATACATATCATATTGGTCCATAAATTGTCCTCGAAGTTACCATTCATAATTCTACTCGGAATCTACTTGAATCTGCCTACCCACTTTATGCCGAGTATGACTTGTCTAATGTAGATTAAGACCTGACTGGCTTAACCTTGAGGCTAATATGCGTGAGTTCGAAGTGGGGGTAGAGAGACGAAAACTATTCTATCACTGATTGGCTAGCAAGCACGCGAGAGAGAGAAGACAAAGACAGCTGGAACACTAATCACTTTATTCCAACCCCGATCTAGCACTCGAATTCCCAATTCAGATTAGGGTGAAAAGTTACATGAATAAATAGATGACTAAGCTGACCACAAAGTACAATAATTAGAAAAATACAATTATGTCCAAAACTGGGGGATTATAGTAGAAAATAGGGTACAAAAGATTACGTCTAAATGACAATAGCTTTAGAACAGAAAATGCTATGGCAATGATTTATACATCAAACGAAAGCTTATGATCTGTAGAATAGGCTAGGGGCAAAAGTAAATGTTACAGTTTTACATGCTTTGAATTAAATGAATTAACGACCCAAAAATAGCTTCCGTAGTTTGTTAAGGCTCCCTGTTTTGCGGTTCACATCAATAAGTTCATAGTGTAATGAACGAGAACAAAAATGGGGACAATCGAATGTACTTGAACGAAATCTGAGAACCATACAGTGAATTTTCTATGTGCAAAATGTCAATTAATTGTCTCAAACTTGATTGTTCCTTTTGCAAATATCTGTCAGTCGTCTCATACTCATTGTTCATGCATTTCCGTACTAATTGCTTTCCGTCCTCGTTCTTTCATCTCCGATCTTCTTGACCTTCAGCTGCCACACATTCTATTCCTGACTTGCATTATATACTACTTATATCGATATGAGTATCGCACAACAAATGGATTTCATCAGATTCGTGTTGAAATCTTCAACTGGATATACTCATCTTATATAATGCAATTATAGAGAAAATATTAGTGATGTTTGAATGGTTTCAGTTGCAGTTCAATAAATTTGCATGAAGAGTTATAAGTAAACTGTATCATTACTAAATGAAATAAAATATTTGGTCAAATTCAATTGTGTATTTGTTCAAAGAACCTGACACCAAAGGATAATAATTCAGTTCAAAACACCATCATGTTTTACAACAAACATTTATTTGCTGAAGTCATAAGTATTTATTTTTGATCGCAGAACAATAACTTAATGATTAAATAAACTACTCCATTTATAAATAAATTTGGTATTGTTTGTTTGAATCCTCTCATTGATGTTTAGAACTTCAATTGATCAGTCTCTTATTGGCATATGTGAACACTGTGCGTATTGCCTCGATATAGCCTTAATTCATTAGCATTATAAGGAAAGATGGATAGTGGCTAGCAGTGGAGTCCAGGTTGCGCGTTTCGTCACATTTGGGGCTCGTCAGTATGCACACATGTCAATAAAAGACTAATCATTTGCAATCCTAAACATCAATGAGAGGATTCAAACAAACAATACCAAGTGAATTCAAACTTCACTCCATTGAACAATCAAGTGGCTATCAAGACTCAGTAGCTGAGTGGATAACGCGATGGCATTTGAAGCGAAAGGTACTGGGTTCGAGTCTCAGAGTGAACATCAACTCTGAGATGCAGGTACATCTAACTGACGAGTCCCAAATAGGACGAAACGCGTGTCCTGGATTCCACTGCTAGCCATTATCCATCTTTGCTTATATCCCATTTAAGTGTTCAGAAAATGTCGTTTGAATTCGTCAAAATAATATAGTTTATCATGATAATTGTAGTTAACATTAATTTTTTTGATAATCTGCAAAAACGCATGTAGTTTAAATCGTAATTTTGAAATAAACGTCATAGTTTCAGGACACATTAAAAGTTTCAATTTGTTAGAAAACTTCTTATGTCCGAAAAATGATCAAAATAACGTTTAACCAATCAATAGTCATGGAAACTTCTTATACAAAACTAGAAATTAGCTAATTACTCTTATTCTTAATCTAACAAACCAAATTATAGATATAATATGAATTTTAATGTTTTAGTTAGGTTAGCGTTTTTTTAGCGAGTTGATTTTCTACGGGATGGGGTCGCTAACCCCATGCCCAACCCTCCTCCTTTACCCGGGCTTGGGACCGGCAGTAACCCTCAGAGGAGCTACAGGCGGAGTTTTTTTAGTTAGGAGCTCTCATAATATCAAAGTAATAGGCTATTCAATTGATAGGCTTTATTAACTGTACTTCAATTATCTTTATATGTTGAGCCTCACTACTACTACTACTACTATTACTACTACTACTACTACTACTACTACTACTACTACTACTACATGTATGTACATTACTAAGTGGTTAATTTGTTGAGCTTTCAACCCCTAATTTGAGGATTTAAATCTTATTCAATCTATCTTGATCTGAACAACCGGGTAGTATCTCTAGCTCTTAAAACTAAAATTTATCTCAAATTGAGGTACTTGATAAATGAGTTAATTAATTCATATCTATATTCATCCCCCCGCTTCCAGCCATAAGAACATGGTGAAGCCTGATAGGCCTTTCTGTAGAAGAGTGCTACATCAAAGCAAGGCACAACTAACGGGGCTCAATAGCTGTTTTTGCATAGCTTACGCAGAGTCCTTACATCATTCTTCCTTTTATTTTTTGAGCAGACTCATTCGTTCTTTCTTTTTGAACCAACAATAATTATGCAATGATTCTTTGTAGTAATCGTAATCATTTGTGGGTATAGGTAGATTGCTTGCTTAGGCCGTCCTCCACCACCCGTGTTACCACTAACGTTAGTACATGGAAAAAGTTCCATGATCCAAGAGGCACGACGAAAATTCATACAAAGACCACTTTTTTCTCATATACCTCATACATATTTCTAATCAAATATAAAGATTAACAACGCTATATTACTCATATAAGCATACCTTTTCCTGAATAAGATTTTCATTGTTGAAAACGTTAGTTAATTGAAGCTAGACCACCAAGGAAAACCTGGAAGCACTTGAAAGCCGTTTTGTCCTAATGTGGTACACTTTAACAGTGCGCATTTACGACCTCACCCCGCGAGATTCGAACCCAGGATCTACCAGTCTCACTCCAGAGCACTTAAATGATAGACTAGTGAGCCAGCATCCGATGATGTTTATGTCTAACTCCAACCAATCCAAGAAGTTGAGCAACCGTTCATCAGTGCTTCCAGGTTTTCCCTGGTGGTCTAGCTACAACTGACTCATGCTTTCAACTATGAAATCAATATTAAATCTCCACAAAACCCCTTCTGAATAAGATTTATTAAACAACATTATAACTTTTCAAAAATAGTTATTTTGATATGAAAAAATATGTATTTCTTGTACAATATTCATTATATCAAATAGAATCCATTACGGAAACTCCAGTTTATTAGATTTGTCTTTATAAAAGAATAGACATGGCATTTAATCTGAATACACAATTGATTGATCAGAAAATGAAAAAAAAATTTAAAACTACTATTAGTAGTATATAATAGATTCATATAATTGTCTTGTCAAAGATTATTATTATTATTAGTTTATATAATTAGATGTTTGTTCAAATGTATTAGCTTTCATTTTATGATTCCAGTTCTGAATAGTACAACAGCATGATTATCCAAGAAGAAATAAATAAAATGTTTTGCTTCATGAGAAATATACCTAAACGAGGTTATTCGGAAAAAAAAATTATAGTTAGAATGTATTCAGTGGAAAGGAAGTAAATATTTTAAATTATATATTGAATAATAGGTTGATCAGTATCGAATTCGTTGGTTGATTTGATGATAAAAGCTATGGGCCCAAACCTAAGAAGTACCGGTAAGCTTGTTTTGCTAGATGGATTGAGATTAACCTGATGTTTGGCACGAAGTGAGCGATCGGTTAGTGGATGGTAAGGAAGTGGTTAATTGTAACGCTTGGATGCCCTTTATATGTACGCCTGGCATAATGTCTTACAGTCTCTCCTAATTTAAATGAAATTTTTTCAAAGGTATATTTCATTGAGAAAGAAAGTCTTCACTGTTCGGCCTTTGGAGGTTCGACGTGTGTGGATACATGTCAAAAAAAAGAATGCTCCGTAGAGTCCTAAAATTGCCACTTGGTAATAAATTAGTATTTAAGTTTTAGCGATGAAGGATTTAACTAATATTTTGCTTAAAATGTTAGCTTATATTTCTCAGTGAATAGTTTAAATGGAATGATCTATGGAATACCCAGGGTATGAATATTATTCATTATTGTTACATACACTAGTCGACAATGGTTGCAGTGAAGAAACATTGTGACTCATGTCAGCATAACCAATATAAATAGCTGAAATTGATGATGCTACATTCATAATATAGCTTTCAGCATTAACATGCTGATACATGAACCAAAGTTATTCCAAAATGAGAATCACAGGCTCACAGAAATTCAAGTATTGGACGACTATTTTCTTCAATAACCAATATATATCTAAAGCAGATATAGGTTTAACACTATGCTACTTTTAATATATTTTAATACAAACCAAAAAAGACACACATAGATTTTTTGAAGACTTAGCTTTCTCTATAAGTACTGACAATTTATTCATACCATAAACATACTCTTTTAGCCAATAATTTATTACTGTTATCAGGTGTACAATCGTCTATAATCTAAACTGTCAGGATTTTCACTGAACAGTAAATAATAATGTAATATTTAGTCCATATTGTTGATAAAACACTGTTGACCACCATTGTAATGGTGTCATTTGAATTGGGTCATCGCTACTCAAAGAAAAATATACAACTGTATACATCTAAGTCGTGTCTGGGAAAACATTTTAGCTAACTTTGCAAACGATGCCAAAAAGTTCTGTGTTAGAAGTGAATAACAGATTGTATCCATATGCTATGATAAAAAGCTTACAACTTATTAAGATGATGAATGTCAAAGAACTAGTTCGGAAGCATATCAATTATTGTTATACTTTCTTCATTATCTACCCATGAAAGAAATGAGAGACGATTACAATAGAATTTATTCAATAAAATAATGAATAATTGAAAAAAAATGGTTGTAGCAGCTAGACTGGCTGAAAACTTTCGCGAACGCTTATGAGAGGCAATACTAACATTTGTAAAATATGTATTTGAATGAATTGAATTAAAGGCTCTGATAACCAGGAACTGGTGCTGGTAACTCTGTGTTGCAACAAAATAATTAATGGTAAGCAAAGTAATTATTATTTAACTCTGTACCTGTAAAACAAACGTTTTACACAATATTTGACCAATACCACTGAATCGGTGAAATGACTTTGGTCATTACTCAATGACTAATTAATGCTAACATAGAAGTTCTGTGGTGGGTCGATATAATTCTGCATAGTTCCATATTATTGTTTTGAGCTAAGGCTAGTAGTTATGTATAACACACATAAGGACTTTCAGCAAGGTATAATTTCCTTCAGAATAAGAAATTTACTTTTTAGACAAGTATCAATGAACAAGAAACATAGATCTGAGCCTTTCGTTTGCTCCTGTCCCATATTGTTATATGGGAAATTCTCTCAAAATAAGCTAAATGAGAATAAATCGACAATGCCTGGTGAAAAATTACACTTTCCTTTCATGTGTATTCAGTTACATTCAGAATTTCTTTTTAAAATGAACTCCATTCAGTGTAAACAACTATATGCTTGTTTTAAGTGTATTAAAATCCCTAGATGAATCGAGTTTTCAAATTATCAAAGGGATAGTGTATATTTGAAAAGCTGACTAAGCATAAAATTACAATTTATGAACTCAAATTTCGCTTCAGTTCGTTTTGTTTTCTGTGTGCATAACGGAAGCAAAGTTTTTTCATAGTTGATAGCGTGAGTCAAATGAAGCTAGACCATCATGAAAAACCTGGAAGCACAGGACTACCATTTCGTTCTATTATGGGACTCCTCAGCAGTGCACATCCACGATCCCGCACTCGCGAGATTCGAACCCAGGACCTACCAGTCTCACGCCAGAGCACTTAACTGATAGACCACAGAGCCGGCTAAATATCCAACGTTGTTAATGTCTAACTTCAACCAATCCATGATGTTTGAGCAGCCGTTGACAAATTGTCTTCACTGAGTTGATATCTCTACAACAGACTTGGTTGAACTCCACTGGTCACTGTGACTTTGTATAGTAAGTAGTAAATTAAATATGATGGAAATCCATATTTTTATAAAAGACTTACGATGGAGCACTTGACTACAGTGATAATTTTAATGAAATATATATCCTAATCATTTAATTTAATATATAACACTTCTGTGAACCACACTGTGGAACGATCGTATAAAAAAATGTAAGTTCAAGGGAAATGAAAAATGTAGCTTGAAGGTTATAGTTTATGAATTCATATGAAGAGATAAACTATGGGTGAAATGAACAGATAAAGCTTGGAAATTGGCTTTGCTCCATATCCGTTCAATAGTTTTCTATCGTAGTTTATAGTTATATATTTAGCTTGATAAATAGCATTGCATATATACATTCAAGCACATATATATGCATGAAAGTTCAATAAGTTTCATAGGAATATTTAAAATATAACCGAGAACTTTACAGTTACATACGCAAAGGTCAAATGAGTTCATACAACAGTTTTTGTCAATCTGTTATATCAATTCAAGATAATTATTTTTTGTGGTTAGCGTTTTTTTAGCGAGTTTGATTTTCTACGGGTAGGCGTCGCTAACCCCATGCCCAACTGATGTGATCCGCAAAACTAGAAGCCTGAACAAATTACAGAAGCTATTTTCGGGGACGTTAATTCATTTAATTCAAAGCGTGTAAAACTGTAATATTTACTTTTGCCCCTAGCCTATTCTACAGATCATAAGCTTTCGTTTGATGTATAATTCATCGCCATAGCATTTTCTGCCCTAAAGCTATTGTCATTTAGACGTAATCTTTTGTACCCTATTTTCTGCTATAATTCCCCAGTTTTGGACATGATTGTATTTTTCTAATTATTGTACGTTGTGGTCCGCTTAGTCATCTATTTATTCATGTAACTTTTCACCCTAATCTGAATTGGGAATTCGAGTGCTAGATCGGGTTGGAATAAAGTGATTAGTGTTCCATCTGTCTTGTCTTCTCTCTCTCTCTCGTGCTTGCCAGCCAATCAGGGACAGAATAGTTTTCGTCTCTCTACCCCTATTTCGAACTCACGCATATTGTCCTCAAGGTTAAGCCAGTCAGTCTATCGTGTCAAGGTCTTAATCTACATTATACTCCGCACTAAGTGGGTAGACAGATTCAAGGACGTAACACCAACCCTCCTCCTTTACCGGGCTTGAGACCGACAGCAACTGTCGAAGGTTACAGACTTCTACACGAGGGGTAACAGGCGTAAGAAGGTGAGTAAAGTTTATTACTTTATATGTATGTAAGAGGTTACAACAGTGAGATTCATTTGTAATTGTTTGTAACCGTCAAACTGAAGGACAATCTTATTATCCTGTTCCAAATTTTCATAGTTCTAGGCAGTCATCTAAACAATTCTATGAATTCATTCACCATATAAAAGTTGTAATTACAGACTATTTGATAAAATATCACAGCATAATATGAACAAAAGAAACGATTATATTATATAGTTAAGATCATGAGTCAATCGAAGCTAGACTACCGTGGAGAACCTGAAAGCACTGGATGGCCGTTTCATCAATGCGCTGAGGAGTCCCACAATAGGATGAAATGGCCATCCAGTACTTCCAGGTTTCTCACGGTGGTCTAGCTTCAATCAACTCATGATCTTAACTATATAAAATTACTAAAAATCTCCACAAAACCCCCTTGTGAAACGATTATATATTGTTGAAAAGTGAACTTACGTGCCAAAATGTGATCCAACTATACAATGCCAACTTGGTAAATATTTTCTATCAAATTCTTTTTTCATAAATGCTGCTATATCTTTTTCCATTGAATACTTTTTAATTGCAATAGCACATATATCTACAGCATCTTGTTGCATTTCATCAGGCATATCAACACTTTTTATAATTGCTTTGAAACTAGTCATTTTATTAATTTAATAGTAATATCAGTTAGTGTATGATCATTACATATGAAAAGAAGGAAACAATCTTGTTTTGAATATGCTTATTGACGTATAACTTAACTGACTATAATTTGAATAAAACTACTGAAATACTATTTATGCGCATATATTAAACTGTGTGTGTATATGTTTGTATGTTTACACTTGACTAGGTGTAAACTAAAATGGGCAAACGTATAGAATGATTCCGAATATTTATCTATTCTTTTTATTATAAACAGAATCGTTGTGCATAGTTACAAGAAAGAAGGTAGAAACAAAACTAGTCCGAATAAATTATTTAATATGTATGTTATTTGTATATATGTGTATGTCCATTGACGTGTATATCTCTGTGAAATATTCATTTTCGTAAAGTTGAATTGGTCGAATAGAGAAAGAAGCTTCAAACAGTTAATGTAATTAACTGGTTTAAATAATATTGTGGTTTGGGTTACTGATATTCATATAAGTAGTATACAATGATGGTCGAGCATTGAATGTATTTTAGTAGAAGATCGATAAGGAGAAAACAGGAACGGAATGCAATTAGTATGTAGATCTATGAACAATGAAATCAGAGATGATTGACGGTGATTTGCAGAAGAAACAGTCAAATTGAAACAATTAATTGTTATTTTGCAAATGTACTGTTCACTATATGGTTCTCATATTTTAATGAGATATTCTGTCATGTTGCGCTAAATATATTTGATTGTCCCTACTCGTGTTCTCATTCATTACAAAATGTTTACAGGTAGGTGAATAGTGATCTTAACAAATATTGTGGTGTGGTCTACTTATATCCACATAAGTAGTATATAGTGACAGTCAGAATGTATTTTGACAGAAGATCGATGAGGAAAAAACTGAAATGAAGCACAATTGGTTGAAAAATGAATGAACAATGAAATTAGAGAAGACGGACTGATATTTGCAGAAGGGAAATTTAAGATTGAGAAAATTGATTGTTATTTTGCAAATTAACTGTTAACTGTATGGTTATCAGAATTTAGTGAGATAGTCTGTAATTTGTGCCTAAATACATTCGATTGTTCCCATCCGTGTTCTTGTTCATTACAATATGAAGGCTTGTTTAAGATTTATTTCAAAATGGAAATAAAATTCATAAGATAATTAGAGTTTTAAGCAAATTTCGTTGGTAGATTTATTTGATGTCACTTTCCAGTTATTTTCTATATCAAGTAGGACAAGGTTAGCGTTTATTCAGAAAGATTGTTTTCTACGGGACTGGGATACTGACTCCACATCCAACCCTCCTTTTTTACCCGGGCTTAGGACCGGCAGTATCCTTAGAAGAGCTACAGGTGGAGTCAAATAGCACATTATTTTAGTCTTAATTCATTAGTCCGCACAAGAAAAAATAACAGAATGCACCCATATCAAAAAACATTATTGTGAATTGAATGTTGTAACTAATAGACATCACGGCTATTGAAAGCAGTTCAGTTTATTACAGTATCACTGCAGATAATGAAACAAACGCCTTACTACCATCATTACCCATGTACAATTAGTAGGAGGACTATGTTTTCAGACCAAGAGTTGCTGATTTTAGTTTCACCGTTCTCCAATCCATCTATCTGGCACAGCAAAACCCAAACTAACAATTGTCTCAGTCTATATAACTGGATTGTGTTATCAGAAAATACGGGCCATATCAACTTAGTAATTCGCATTGGATTCTTTTGCAAATAATATCACTTACAATTTGATATCATTTTGTTTCCATGATATGAATTCAAACTATGGTATTTGGTATTCTTGAGTTATATATTGAGTTACACATAATAAATAAAAATATTTCAGCTTTATGGTAGAACAATTACCTTAAGCAGAACTCTAGAAAAGTAAGTTATATTTCGGATAGTAATTAGTTCCTTTGAAAGAAACGAAAAGATTTGCAGCTATGTGAATGATCTTTCGTAGTGTTGTGGTAATCTGAACTAGGTAACTTAAATTTCATAGCTTTTGGGGTTATTCTTGACAATGAAAGATTCATTAAACCTTCTACATTCAATAACTATACTTGAAATTGTATAATGATTTTTTGGATCGCATTCCAGTATAATGAATGTTAAACAAGATTTATCCTAGAAAAAAAAATTTGACCTAGTGTCAATAATTTATATAATTTTCTATGGTAGATTACCATCACCGGGCATGAAAATATCATGGAATGACATGGACTGATTGGGAGAAAGGGATGAGAATGATGGCAGATTCGCAAATTTATGCGCATTCAACAAAGTGGTTATAGACGACATAGTATTCCCACACAAACGCATACACAAAGTTACATGAATCTCACCGCATCAAACGATGGAAAAGAAGATAGGTCATATTTACTTTTTTTTTTTTTTACTTACGCCTGTTACCCCCCACAAAGGAGCATAGGCCGCTCACCAGCATTCTCCATCCAACTCTGTCCTGAGCCTTCCTTTCCAGTTCTTTCCAGTTGCTATTCATCCTTTTCATATCGGCTTCTATTTCCCGGCGTAGTGTGTTCTTTGGCCTTCCTCTTTTCCGCTTCCCTTCCGGATTCCAAGTTAGGGATTGAGTCGTGATGCACATTGGTGATTTCCTTAATGTATGTCCGATCCACTTCCAACGTCTTTTCCTTATTTCCTCTTCAGCTGGAAGCTGGTTTGTCCTCTCCCATAAAACGCTGTTGCTGATAGTATCCGGCCAATGGATGTTGAGTATTTTGCGTAGACAACTGTTTATAAATACTTGTACCTTCCTGATGATGGCCGTAGTAGTTCTCCACGTTTCAGCTCCATACAGTAGGACTGTCTTGACGTTCGTATTAAAGATTCTGACCTTGAAATTGGTTGAGAGTTGTTTTGAGTTCCATATGTTCTGCAATTGTAGAAATGCTGCCCTTGCTTTGCCAATCCTCGCCTTTACATCTGCATCCGATCCTCCTTGTTTATCAACGATGCTCCCCAGGTACTTGGATGTTTCCACCTCTTCCAGAATTCCGCCATCAAGTGTGATTGAGTCGGTGTTCTCCGTGTTGCATTTGAGAATCTTGCTTTTTCCTTTGTGAATGTGGAGACCTATCGATGCGGAGGCTGCTGCTACATTTGCTGTCTTCATCTGCATTTGGTCGTGTGTATGAGAGAGGAGGGCTAGGTCATCTGCGAAGTCCAAATCATCTAATTGATTCTGGGAGGTCCATTGTATTCCGTATTTCCCTTCAGATGTTGAATTCGTCATAATCCAGTCAATCACTAGAAGGAAGAGAAATGGGGAGAGTAGACAGCCTTGTCTGACTCCGGTCCTTACTGGAAATGCATCTGTCAGCTGTCCTCCATGCACCACTTTGCACTGTAATCCATCGTATGAGTTTTGGATAATGTTGACGATCTTCTGAGGAACTCCATAGTGTCGAAGAAGTTTCCACAATGTTCTCCTATCCACGCTGTCAAACGCCTTCTCATAGTCGATGAAGTTGACGTATAGTGATGAGTTCCACTCAACTGATTGTTCAACGATGATCCGTAGTGTCGCAATCTGGTCTGTGCATGACCGATCCTTACGGAATCCAGCCTGATGATCCCTAAGTTCGTCGTCTACTGCGTCTTTCATCCGATTCAGCAGCACTCTGTTGAAAACTTTTCCTGGTTTTGATAACAAACTGATGCCTCTGTAGTTCTCACATTGGCTCAGATCTCCTTTCTTTGGTATTTCGGTGAATTATCCTTCTTTCCAGTCCATTGGCAATTGTTCCTCTTCCAAATCTTTTTGAATAGAAGGTGAAGCATGTTTGCAGTTATTTCAATGTCTGACTTCAGTGTTTCTGCTGGTATATTGTCAGGTCCTGCCGCCTTCCCACTTTTGATTTGTCTGATGGCCATCTTGACTTCTTCGATCGTTGGTGGAGTGACATCTATTGGAAGGTCATATTTACATCACTAACAAATTCAGAAGGTGAAAGGGAGACATGCGAAACAGGAGAGAAGCTGACATAGCTTCAGATCACTATCTACCTGGTGGTTGTCAAGATAAAACTGAAGCTTAAGAAGCATTGAACAATTGAGGAAACAGTATTACAAAGGTTCGATACAGAATTCCTTCGAGAAGCTGACAAACTCAACGAATTCAATACAGCTCTCAACACCAGGTTCTAGTACCTACAAGATCTACTGAAGAAAGAAGAAACTACTATGGAGCACAACTGGAAGGAGATCGAGGAAAAACTAACTTCAGGAGGTCAGGAGGTTCTGGACCGCAACAAGCATTATCATAAGGAATGGATCTCTTTCGGAACCATGACAAGATTCTAGAAAGAAAAAACAAGAAAACAGCAATGAACAAAAGTTGAACAAGAACATAGAAAGTCAAGGCAGAAGCTGAATACACATTAACAAACAGACAAGTGAACATGAGCATTATAGATGACAAACAGAAATACGTGGAAGAGCTAGCAACAACAGAAGAAAAAGCTGCAATAGAAGGAAATATGAGACGACTACATGACACGATGAAGAGATAAACAGGGAAATATAGTAAACCAGAGAGACCAGTCAACGACAAATAAGGCAAGACAATCACCGGGATTCGAGAACAGAGGAACAAGTGGACAAAGCACTTGGGGGGAATCTTGAATAGATCAGCTCCATTGAATTTACTGGTCATCGAAGCCACACACACAGACCTCCCTACAAATTTTACTCCATAAACGATCGAAGGAATCAGCATGGTCATCAGATAAATCAAGAGTGGAAAAGCTGTAAAACTTGACAATATACCAGATGAAGCCTTAAAGTCGGCTTTCACCACAGAACTTTATAATTCTTCTATTGGAAGATCGTTCAACTCGGGAACAAAGTTTAAATAGTTCAAACTGCCTTTTACTTGTTAGCATGTGTTTAGAACGGTTATCTTCTACGAGATGGTGTTGCAGACTCCATGACCTACCCTGTTGATTTGTTCAGGCTATGAACTAACAGTTACCCTAGAAGTGCTGCAGGAAGAGTAATTTACGTGGTAATTTCAGCCTCCGTAGTATACAATATGTTAAAAGAAATAGTATTCAAGTATGAAATCATATCAGAGTAAACTTGTATCTAAAATATACATTCAAAGTTTGGCATAACAAAATAATTTGACCTAATGTCATGACATCTACAAAATGCATTCATACAAAGGTAACTGTAAGCTTTTACAAGCATGACGAATATTCTTATCAACGGAGTCGATTATTATTGGAACGGATAGATTAAATCTTGAAGTTGAAATTCAAAGTACTTCTATTAGATCAAAGATGAATTATCTGATACACTGAAACAATATCATCGTGTAGTCCAAGCTAGAACAAACAAGATATAAAGTAATAATCGATCAAACTTTTAAAATTTTGATTAAGCCAGTCACACTACTAATAAGTAGTCAAGTATTCAAAACAAACTTTGTGGCCATTTAAATTGTGTACCTAATGTTCAGCTGAAACCAACAAGAAATAAGCATCTTCATGTATTAGGTGTTAATTATCTAAACATAAGATATCAAGTAATTCAAAGTTTTTTGTGGCCAGTTTACGGAACCATCTTCTGAATGAACAAATACAACGTTAACTGACAACAAATATGTGGCATCTAATGTTAACGTAACTAATTTGATTGCTAAAAATTCAACAGTGATTATCTCATATGTCGGTTGATTTTTTCAGACCTCTAAAAGAAGGTGGATATTAGAATAGACATATGATGGAGTTTTGTTCTCTGAGATGGATGGTTTGGTAGTGGAGCTT